CATCGTCTACATCAGCATTCGCACGTATCGCCTCTTCGGACCCAAATCGCGCCTACCGTCGCTCGCGCAGTCCCTTAGCTTGATCACACCGCTGTGTTGCTGCTTCAGATTCCTTCTCGCTCTCTTCGTTGCTGCTGAAGTCAACGAAAAAGTAAGGCGCCACAAAAATGAAACAAGATGATCTTATCTAATTGGCAATTTTTAGAACGTTGAAAATCCATTTTCCTACGTGACTACTAGAGTTGATATTTCTCATATTTATTCAGTAGGTTTTGGCAATACATTTTTATTTTAATAGAATAGAATGTTACTGAATTCAAGCGGGCACATTTCCTCGAGACACCCTCTCCCAACACGCCGTTGCATCACCATCAGTGACTCATGATAGTGTCATTGGCACTTCGCAGCTCTGAAATTAACACAGCAGAGCAACTCTTGATGGTACAAATACTTCCTCTCGGCAAACCTTGATTTGAGAACTGAAAATAATCATGCAGAAACCTGATAACCATACCGCAAAGCATGGCTTACAGGAACAGAACATTTTGCACATTCAGGATTTGGCCCAAGGTGCGAACGTTCTACAATGTAGAAAATTTATCAGTCTGAAACCATGGATGCTGCAATATGGGACTGATGAGAATATAATGACTTGCGCATGTTGGGTGAGAATAACGTGAAATAATATGAAGGATTGATTACTTTCGTATGTGATTGCAAAATCTTGGGCTCCAGAAAAAGTCAGGTACAACTACAGTGCCAAGCTAATGATGCAATTTTCCCAGTGCATCCCGAATGTATGGGGGGGGGGGGATTTGGAATCACCCGAACATCCAATAGAAATGCCATAATGGAATAAGCCCATCTCACTGAGGTAATTCAGCGTAAAACGTTATTGCTCTTGCCAAGTAACGCTAGTTCGTAGCATTTAATTTTCATTAAATCCTTCTACTAAAAAAAAATTAATTTGACTCGAATCCCTTTCACCTGGCGGCCACCTGAGGTATAGAAAATTGCATCATTTACTGCAAATGCCAACAACCCCATCAGTTGCGGCACCAAATATTATCATGTAGAATGAATAAATCCAGCACTCTATTGGACTAATGTAAAAAAAAACGAAGAATACTAGCACTGCCCTCAAAGTGAACTAATACATTTTCGGTAGGGTTCTCGGTTGGTGACCACCGTCTATGGAGAAGTTTCTCGTGACCCCACACTCATATCAAATCCACAGGTAAGAAGATTCCAAACGCGTGATTGGTGCTCTCATGATGATGGAGCCTTTATTTACCGTTCTCCTTCCGATTTTTGACCCCCTCAGGCTCGATTCGTGTGCCAGGCATTGAGGAGACGGCACATCTGCCTCACCGCGTCCAACTTCTTCACCTACTCCCGATCCTTCATTGGTGCAGTAAGTGCCTTCCAAGCTTCCAACAAAAAAGAATCATTTAATGAGTTACGCGGGAAGGATCAGGTTGGCAAAGTTTCTCCAAGTGATTGCTACCATTCTCCCATCTATTGGTGAGGGGCATAGAAGAACCGGACGATTTCTTTTTTTATTTTTCTTTGCTGCAAGATAAAAAAAGTGGAAATTTGCCATGAAAGTTACGCAATTCACAGTTGTAAAACGTTAGATTAAATTTTTTGTAAGGTCATTTTTAACGACAAGTGACGGAAGTTTTATATATAAAAAGTAGAGCTCCGTGAAGAGTCTGACTCAATAGCTAGAATGCTGATTCTTCAGGTGATCCTGGTGATCTGCCTGGCTATGCCACTATCAAGTCCACACTAGGTATAAATGGATGGTGGACATTTTCATGAAATTTTAATTTACTCATTCCGTAATGGAGAAATAAAGCACAGCCTAGTCCACTTTATATCTATGAATGTAATTGGTTCCATGCGTTAAGGGAAGAAGAGTGATCTGTGCAATCATACCTTGCCAACTTCGTTCTAATGCTTCTGGAAATGATCAAGGTCAATTCCCTCGAGTCAAGCTTCATGTCCTAGGTTAGGAGGAAAAAAAACTTTCTAACATGCATAGTTCTTCAAGGACTTTACAACGACAGTTGAACTGCTGGAGGAATAGAATGATGTAGGATTTGAGAACTGGATCTGGAAAGAGCCTCATGCTCAAAATTCACTTTCAATGAAGAATTAAAAATGAAAATACGAAAAATTTACATCATACTTCTTCAGCAAAAATATATTTTTTCATTACCAGCTAGATGTGCCCTCCTTGTAAAATCATCAACATGGGATAAATATTGATAATTTTACAAGGTGGCATTTGTGGTGTTTCTGTGAATTTCACAGCTGTAGAAGTAGTCATATACAGGGTGTCTCAGAAACCCTGCCCCAAGTTTAGACGGAGACAAAGACTAAGAGAATGGACGCATCAAAGTTGTATTATTATTATTATTTACTTCAGAGTATAGCATCTAGCAGAATAAGGAAGCAGATTCAATCTTCTTCCCACTCAAATTGGTTCCCATTCTTATAATGACATATACGGCTTCGCCGGGGAAAGTCATCCACTACTTTCTGACACATGTCCAAGCTTATGGCATTGATGAGGTCAGGGATGTTATGGGGTTTTGAAGCATACACCTTTCAAAAAACCCCGCAACCAGTAATCACAAACTGTCAGGTTTAACAGCAGTTGTTATGAAAGGTCTAGGCTTTAAAATGATACAAAACTCATTTTCATCAGAAAAAAGAGACATAATAATGTACAAAACTTGGGAAGAGGATTTCTGGGACACACTGTACTAGTAGTCATGCTTATCTTGAAAGCAGATTTCTACTGAGACACATGCTGATGAGAGGGGGGGAACCAATTGCATTGAAGGCCTCTATATCTTTTTCAAAGAAAATGAAATTGAAAGGAACAAGGAGAAAGGGGGACAGTTTTATGTTGCATCAATAGAAAGGTAGAGGTCAAATTCAAGTCCAGTCAGTATTAGGGGCTGCACAGTTGAATGTGGTAATAGCTGAGCCACTACTGAGGGGACTCTTGATCAATAGTGCCACTTGATAATCTAGGAAACTTATTCCCTAAAGAATAATATATTTTTATTTTTTTACCAGAACTCTTCAGCATGGTACATGTATTTCATTTTTTCTTCTTGATAAAAAAAATATATTATTCTTCGTTGAGTGTTAGAATTTCATGAAAATGAAGGAGCACCTGTCTTTTTTTTTTCCAGACTGTTGGAGCCCTGGCAACTTATGCTGTCATAGTTATACAGTTCCAGACATCAGAAAATTCTGAACCTGATGGATATTTCAATGTCTCTATGACTACAGCTATTATCTGAGAGCAACTTTTTCCCTACTTCTGGCAAGGAACTTGAGAGAGAAATCATGGAGAAGCAAGACAAATAGGAATCATCTACTACATAACAACCATTTATCAAACCATTTTCAAGTGTTTACTTGTGAATGAGGTTTCATTGCAATGACAATTACTTTTCATTATCAAATGCATTTATTACAATGACAATCATCAATTGTTCATAATAAAGCACCAATGAATCACACTTGAATGCTGAACATACATGATGAAGAAAATCTTCAAATAGTCAAACCATGGCTTCTTAAAGAATATCCAAACGGAATGTGTCAATGGACATAATTGTTCTGTAGTAGGATGGCTGAGATTATTTCAATACACCAGGTATGAAAGTTGAAAACAGCTTTTAAAGTGCTGGGTACCACAGCAAAACAAACCCCTTCTGTACAAAGTGTGAAAAAAGGAAATCCCAAGTTATACAACAAGATCAGATCTTGCCATCTACAAGGCACAAACCTGTGAGGCTTATTGTTATTGTGAGGTGAAGCTGTGTGCCTGGAAGATGGGTTATGGGGCCCCAGAGTATCAATACCATCCCAAATATCAGATCAACCCTCAAATCAGACACACCTGGGTAAGTAGACAAGAAGTAGCTATGATTTGAATGATGGACAAAGGAGAAGAGCATTGAACAAAATAAATTTAAAACAAATATTCATAATCTTTGGTATTAGAGTGCAAGTGACTGGGTTTTCCATGTGCTTGAAACATAAAAAGACTGAAGCAACACCAGATTACAAAAGTATGCAGCCCAAAATCCAATGACCTAATTACGGAAAAAATGCAAGACTTGAAAGCATTGGTACAGCAGACTTAGCATCATAATATCACACTTTCAGATGGTCCAAAAAAAGAAACTGAGGCTAATCATAAACCTTTTTTAATAGTTATGATCTCAACAAAAGACCACATTTCCTTCTCTCAAGCCTACCAATTTTAAATGCATCATAGCTTCTACCAACAGACAGTTAGAAAGAAATGGAAAATTTTTATATGGAAGCTTCACATCAGAAGAAACTCATGTGAAAAGAAACATTATGAATTCAACTGTGTATAGGAATGTCATCATATGAAAGACATAGTATATGCCTATCCAAATGGAATGGCAAAGCCATACCCAAACAATGTAGGCAGGTCTATAAAATGGTTCTTCAGTTTAGGCACTTTTTGGAAGGCAAGAGCAAATGTTATATCATGGAGGTTAGGTATAGTGAGATTTCTATTTTCCCTTCTAGATCATTTCTCTGAAATTATCATAATTTTCCCTAGTGCAAATGATTAGCAGATTCAATTATTCCCTGATTGGACCTATTGTGATCTAAATGCTGTTTAATGGACAACACCATTGAATGAACAAGCAGCGACATAATATGGCCACTGTATCACAGAAATTTTGAGTCATTGGCTTGCAAGTTGCAAGGAGTAATTGGGAATGTCATTAGCATTATCCCTAAAGACAATACAAACATAGTATCCTGCAGCTTTTTGAGAAGTAGCTGAAACTTGAGATACAGTGGGAAGTGTGTCCTAGATGTCCTTTTAACATGCTGAAAACCTAACATAAGAACAAGATCACATCAAGATGTGGATTAACTCAAGAAGTAGTATTTCTTGGCTGCAAAAAAATCATCAGTTATGTGTACACATGTTAAAAAAAAAAGGTTAAAAAAAAAAACTTGCATGAGGTTTCAGTCATACCTCTCATGTAGGCTGTAATAAATAAAATTTTCTTGATCATGGCAATCACCATACTCTTTTAAATATCATGAGAGGCTCCTAATGAATCTGGAAAGGGCCTATCATAGTTCATCTCTTTGTAGATGACCTCTTGCCTTGAGCTGTGCTTCTACGAAGCTGACGACAAATTCAGCTTCACGGTTATGCAATGGCACACCATGAAAGCCATTCTTCTCCTTGTAAAGAAGCACAGATGGATAGGCATTTACCCCAGCTGCATGACAGAGTGACTCGTCTTGTTCACAGTTCACCTTCCCTGCCTTCACCTTTCCCTTCAAACTCTGCAACATTTTTCAGAAGATGGCCATTACTAGTCATTCAGCACAAATTTTGAATTTCTATGGGAACAGAAAAGGAGAATCTCTCACACACCTGTGCTATGCTTTCAAACTCAGGTGCATACATGTTACAATGGCCACACCATGGGGTGTAGAAATCCACCAACCATACATCTGCACTCTTGAGGACCTTAGCATGAAATGTGTCCATCCCAGAGATATCCTCCACATTAGAGGGAAGGAACTGGAAGAGCCAGGATTGAAATGATTTGGCATTCCTCTGCCACTGAGGGTAGTACTGCCTGCAATTGGAGAAACAATACAATGACTTCCTAGAAAGAAGCCATTTAACCAAGTAAGATCACAAGCCAAACTCACGCCAAGGTTCGTATTCCTTGTGACCCTCTTGGATAGAGTCTTATAGTTGGATAGCTGTGTATGTTATTGTTATGGCAGAGGTTTCGTTCTCTCTCACAATTCACTTCACCCACATAGACTCCAGGAATATCTTTCACCATCTGGTGAAAGGTATGAAGGAAACATGCAAGAACTTGAAAAGTCTATTCATTTAGATCAGTCCCAAGGGAGGGAAACTCACCTGAGCAAATTTCCGGAACTCTGATTGCATTGCCATACAAGGTCCACACCATGGTGCATAGTAGTCAATAACCCAAATCTCATCCTCTTTCTTTGAATGAACTCGCCTTTCAAATAATTCATCAGTCAAATCAATTGCTGCAAGAACAGTGACAATGATTTTGTAAATTGTAGTTTATTGTGGATGTCTTGATTTTCAATGTTAGTAGTGAATGGAACTCACCAACTGGATTGAGTATGTTGTGAACAAAATCAACTAGACTTTCTGCTTTGTGAGGTCCTTTGTAGTGGTGTGGTATAGATCCATTGTACAAGATGGTTGAAGGATATGAATGAATCCTTTCTTGGTTGCATAATCTATAGTGTATTGTGCAATCAACTACCCCAAATCTCACTTGGAGATCCCTTTCTTGAGCCAAATTACTGGCTCGGCGAAACTCTGGATATAGATGCATGCAGGGGGGACACCATGGGGCAAAGAAGTCCACAAACCACAATGATGAACCATCCTGAACTCTCTGGAAGTCTGTTGGATTCAGATTGTGAAAAGCCGTTGCAGTTGAACTCTTTTTGGCAAACTGGCCAACACTGTGGACACCAGGACGCCCCAAGTGGATCTCATGGCCTCCTCCATCCTTCAACATCATGTATGTGGGGTACTTGTGCACAAAGAAACGTTGGCAAAAGGCTCTCTCACGGACACAGTCCATGCGTCCAACACGAATGTTATTGGAATCTAAAAGCACTGCTAGCTTCTTTGACAAGGTGTCATCAATTTCAGCTGGTGAATAGAACTCCAACAGCCAGCTTTCCTTACCACCTTGCATCAGACTTTTCAAGATATTCTGCAAAGGAGGAAGACACCGAACTCAGTCCACCAAGAGCAGTTACATATCCAAAGGAATCAGAATTGGTTTCATGTGCCTACCTCAAATGTTATAGCATCAAGCTCTGATGGACCCTGAAGGGTATTGAGATACTCCTGTGTGAGTTCTCTGCTGTCTCTCGAAATGAGGGCAATGCCTGAGGGATAAGCCCTAATTTCTCCATTAGTAGGAATTTCCAAGCTTTTGCAAAGATCTTGTTCTCTTCCACAGTCCAGATAACCAATCAAGGCTATATCATCCTAAAACAAAAAAATTATTGAAATACTTTCTGGAAATTTTTATATACGAGGGCGAGAAAGAATTTTCTTACCAGCATTCCTGCCAGTTTTTTCTGAGTCTTCCATGATGGGCAATCCTGTTGGTTCCAGCAAAACATGACAATCCAGTTGGAATGCTCTTTCATGAGCCTCATGCTCTGGAAGTCCCGAGCAGAGACATCTTTGATGGCTGCTTTCACTAGTTCCATACCATAATCCACCATTTCATCAAATGTCTCTGGCCCTTCATAAACATGTCCCTATAGACAGATAGCAAATATCAGACAAGAAAGGAGCTCAATATATATTTCGAATGAGAAATGCAACTTGAGCCAAATAACTCACACCAGGATAATGTTTCAGTGTTGGAAACCTGTAAACAGATTCCTTTCTACACAGCCATAAATCATCTCCACAGTTTACAGCCCCAATGCGAATGACATCTTCCAATTCCCTTGCAACTTTCCGCCATGTTGGGGCCAATTTATGGCAATGTCCACAGTGGGGTGAATAAAAGTTGATGAACCAAGGATCCTCAGAGTCCCGAACCATGTCCTCTACAGGCAGAGTTAGTACTACATTCTAGGGGAAGTATTTTTTACATCCGTCCTATATCCATCAGAATCAAGCCATTCAACTCTTTCTTATCAGCACACAAATAATGAATTTAATAGGGCTGTCACGATAGCAGTTTTCAAAACATCGATGCATCGACCTAAACTATCAATAGTGTATCGATGCCTCGGGGGGGGGGGGGGGGTGCCCCGGAGGATTCCATCTTTTCTCGCTGCGATCGGAGAGCGGACTTCTATCCGGCTTCCATAATCTCACACTTGTGATCGGGGGTGCAAGGGGAATGCGTGACCTTTGCAAAGAATAATAAAACCTACCATGCCTGCAACTATCGAAGATGACATCCATTCATCGAAGGATGCATCAGGACAGTCCTAATTTTCTTTGTTCTACACTGTCTTTGGACATCAGCACCGGCAGATTGGAAACCTGCTGATGGTGCCATACCGGTGGTTGCCGAAACATCGGTACAGCCATAGAATAAGCAACGTCCATGGAAAAAATTCACTTTGATTTCACCTTAAGTAGAGATGAAACGCCTCAAGGCAAGTTAAAAATTAAGAAAGTTAAGCCTGCATACTAAAGTGATAGGAATATTTAGAGGGGGTTATCCAATGTACGCTTCGAAATCAAGGCAGTATAAGAACAGTCCACTTCCGCAGCATGCACATGATGAGATCGAGCCGGGAGACTGGAACTGACGGCAAAAAAAAAATTTTCTTGGGCTTCCCTCTCTTTTCCCACTTCCTGTCTCCGATCCGACTTTTTTTCCCTTCCCATCTTTCGTACAGTCAGTCCCAACATTTCCAGAATTTGATTGTGATAAGAAATTGCTCGCTCATGCGTGTCACGCCGCTTCTTCCTTTCCTCGCCTGGACGGACTGTATTGTACAGTACTCGCCTCAATTCAATAGGACATTTCCCCTTTAAAATATTTTGCCGATGCATCGCGATGGTCGAAAAAACTATCAATATCTCCAACTATCGATAGTGGCATCGATGCATCGATCTATCGTGACAGCCCTAGAATTTAAGTATGTTGTCAGAAGAAGAAATGTTGGAACACTGGAGGAACAGGTAAAACTTGACATTTATGAAAATAAAACCATCACTAACACTGGTTTAAAGATCAAAGGAGAGGTAAAAGAGAAAGCTTAGAAGTACAAAAAATAGATAAAATGGATGCAGGAAAAGAATAAAAAATCCTCTCAGGTCTTGAAACCATTGTGAGAATGGGGCTCACTCTCAACATAACACATTGAATGAACTGCAGTCTAATATAGCGACTGTTATATGTACAGAAAATACACTGACTCACCAAAATCCTTGCCACTGAGAGTGACTATTTCAGGGTCATCATCATAGATACCAAATTCTTCATGGTAAAACGACCATGACTGATAATGTCCTGAGCTTCTGGACTCATCCAATCCTTCCTCCCCATGCAGATCATACTTTTTTCTCTTTTCTTCATCCTTCAGCACTTCATATGCTTTATTCAGGCGCAGGAACTTGGCATGTGCCTCAGGATTATCCTGAAGACCAATTTCAAATTATGCAGTCTTGATTTGAATTCCAAGAAGTTGTATCATGGATTTACATTGTTTGCAAGTAAATAATCAAACAATGCCATGTTCAAATATTAAGCATTATCAACTAGAAGGAGAACCTGAATGCATCATGCTCTAGGTGATATATTGACAAATACATAAAAGCTTATACTAAAAATGTCTTAGACAGGACCCACATCAAGTATTAAAACTTTCAAAAGATTAAAGGCTAGCTTATGTCTAGAGAATATTGACAGGCATTCACCACCATGAAATGTAAAAATTCATCATCATGAAACAAACCTTATTTTTGTCAGGATGCCACTGAAGTGCCAGTTTCTTGAATGCTTTCCGAATGTCTCTGTTATCTGCATCTTTTGACACCCCTAGCAGCTCATAGAAATCCTCTGCTCTGACATATTCAATTAAGAGCAATAAGAAAAAAAGACTGAATGAATTTAAAATTGTATTGCTGCTGAGGATTTTCATTGTAGAACCTGACAAGGAAAAAAAAAGAGGGAAATTTAAGCACATGTCTCCTTGGTAGACTGGGCTAAGGTATATGTGCCAGCCTTGGCCTACCCATAAGCATGCAATTGGATGGTCCACATTAATTATCTCATTGAAGTTTCCTCTAGTCTTCACCTGTTGAGACTTTTTAGCTTAGGAATTTTTACAAATGTTACATCAATTTATTTTGTGAATAGAGCCCTGTGATGGGTGGTCTGCCTCGCTGTCCCTCACTTCTCGACAAACTCGGACTAACTGCTTCTTCAGCTGACCCATATAGTTCTAGGTAACATAAATCAAAGTAGAAATTGAGCCCCTCCGTTTACAAAATTCGCAACCCACCACATGGGATAACTTTCAGAAATGTAGGGAGCAGATTTGATCCGGAAACGATGTACTTAAAGTCTAACGTTAGGCCAAATTTTGGAATTCATAGCCTAAAAATACGAGTCTAGTCTTCGCCTAATATTGAGTCAGGTAGGAGTCCATCCGTAACAAGCCGACAGAGCTGGATGCGAGCAGCCATCACCATGCTACACTGCTGCTGCCTCGTGACGAAGGAAGGAATCTTCTATCCGGGGTCGTGTGGGGTGCTTTTAAGATTAACCCTACCTTCATGCAGTTCCAAAGAACAAAGGGTGTTCCAAAGAGAATTCCAAGAGGGAGGGGGAATAGCGCTCCCGTGCTCTTGCATTGACTTGAAAAAATCCCTGAGAGAGCAGGCACCTGAAATTATTGACTTATTGACTAGGCTCTAAGGATATGCGTCCAACTGGAAGCGGAATGGGGGTTTGTTTACCATCCACCTTTTATTTTTACGGTTCCCACATTTCTACAGATCGACTTTCATCGCTACCTGCACATGTGCAGTGGAGAACCAATATATCAATCAATTCTGTCATTCAGACATAAGGGCTGCAGGTTGGTTTTCGCGTTCTTCCTTCTGTATGCCTCTCAAATCACGTCGCCAGGATTTCGCCAAAGGAAAACTGCAGGGGGGACTAGAAACTCTCTGGCTTCTCTTATAACATAATCAGATATTATTTCCGGGGATGAGCGAGGGAGTGGGGTGGAGGATAGAGAAGGCATTTGCATTTAGACAAGTGGCATAGCCAGGGTTTCGCGAAATCACTTCTACACAGGCGGATGGGGAGGAGTGGCAGATGCATTAAGACCAAAGTAGGGGGGCTGAAAACAAACTTGGGGGCTACATCCCTCCTCTTGCTACGCCACTGGTTCCTTCCACTGCGAAGTCAATACACTCTGAAGTGAGACCTGACACTAAGAACACGGCTCGCCTTTTTCGTAAGGTTCTCTGAACCCTTTCTCATCACATTGGTTGTGGACACATTAGACGCAACAGGCGATCGTATGATTGGTTCGGTTACCACGGATCGTACGGGCAGAATGGGATAGGATCTTCATAGGAATACAATGGGAACCACTTATACCGGACACCGATCTTAAAGCTGATCGGCCCTGAGGTCACTTCTCAATATTCAATATGTTCTCAATATTCTTTGCTGATTCATAAATCCCATAACCAAGCCTCGTTCGCAACATCTGCAGACGATTACCAGCGTTGTTTTTTTTACTTTTCAGGAATGGAAATGTTTCAGACAACGGGGACGACTTCAGGTGTTTGCTGTTGACCGACAACTACGCACCGCACGTATCGCCCTACCGGTATTATATCAGAATAAGTGGCGGCTCGCTACGCAGAAAGCACGGAAGGCGGAATCCACAAACGCCGAAACGGCAATACATGAACGACTAAACCCTCCTCCTCACTTGTACACTTGGAGGCGGAAAAGAGGTGCGGAAGTAAAGGATGCCCGTCCGGATCGAGCCTCCACTGAAGCAGAATGAAAGATAAAAAGGAATCTTCGTCACCTCCGATTCACCTGAACGCAGAAGAACCGAAAGCGTGAGCGAGGGATTCTTGCCCTTCCGTGGATGCACGAGGACTCGCATGCCTCGGATTCAAGGCCTTCAATTGAAGTCCATCGGGGGAGAAAAACCTGTTTACTCTTAATTCGGAACCAAAGAAAATAAAAAATGTTAAGTCTTGGCTTATCGGAGTTTACCCGTATTTGAGAACCCTAATTTCGCTATGGTTAAGCACTGCCTACCCCGACGAGGTGCCACTGACGACAACACGCAAAGTCATGCACCTTTGCATTCCAGCATTCAAATGGAGTCAGCTTCGAGGCTGAGTGAAATGGTTTTTTTTTTTTAATGTCCATGTTATCAACGGTGACAAACAATATTCGCATTTACATCATCCACGGTACTGCAATAACAAGCGTGCAAAAAAAGTGCACAAAGCTTAATAGAAATCTTCCATACATCTCTAAACTAGTAAGATTTACGGAAATTCTTTTTTTCCAGACATTTGCAGTCTACCCTATTCATTAATTTTTTACAAGATGCCATAGCTGTACGTTCATATTTAAATTAAATTCACCTTCTAATAGGATCGTACCCTAATCATCCCTCTTTCGAGAAGATGACGCTCTTCTTTCAATATCTTGAGACTGACCTTTCCCAAGAAATTCTTTGGTGGTATGATAATGAGGCTTTTTTGACTTTCAAGAATGTTCTGCTTCTTCCATGAACTCGGCAACTTTATACGTATGCGTAAAATAGTGCGTGGGCAAATTAATGCGCAGGGCAGAGAATGTTTGAATTAACAATAATTGAGATGAAGAAATAAATCCAGAATGATAAATGGGTTAATTTCTGGCCTGAACCAGCTCAGTTTAGGGAAAAGCAGGCTGACAATCATTTAATCATTAGACCATGTCCCTTGAGGTGAGAAGTAACAGAAGAAAAAAGTCAATTTCAATCCCAAAGCTTTTATACGTGAGGAAATGTGGGAAGGAGAACTTAGGAATCATCTACATATATTCAATATAATCTTCATACACGGTGTTAAAGAAAAACCCTGCCAATTCGTTTTTTATAGGAACGATAGTTCCTATATTTTCTCGATCGGTCCAAAATTTCATAAACTGCATGCAGATAGAAGAAAGAAGGTTTTCGCTAAATTTTCATCGAAATGGACCCAATGTGTCCCGTGCCACACCGCCTCATCCTTGAAGGATAAAGAAAAGCACCGAACCCCTGGAGCCGAGCGCCATCGAGGAAGCAATTATTCGGGAATGGCCGCAGCGGCTGCGTGCCATTTTGAGCATGAGGAGAGACATAAGGAGTGACTAAAGGAATGAATTTGCTTCAAATCCGCAGAAACCTCGTTTCTGCGGATTTGGCATCGTTTTTTGGAACCCTCATGTTTAAAAAAAAAAAGACAGCTAAATTGTTATAGGCACATATAGGCCAACCAGGTATGAATTTCCTTCGAATTGGCCAAAAATGTTCGTTATCAAAACGGGTGACGAAAGGGAAACACCACGCCCTCTGCCATTTTGGCATGGCAGACTTTTTCACCTATCAAGTTTGAACTAGCATAGAACGTGATACAATGAGTAAAATTTCTATTGTGTCGTCAATGTGTCATCAAATTGTCAATGGACTCTGCAAGAAGTGGTGGTTTACCGAAAAATACCAAATCATCAAAAAATTTAATTAATTAAAAAGTTTATTAAAAAATTGTTACAATTACCTCCAAAATTTCTTGAAATCCCTGCGAATGCCTATAAATGCTCTAAAACGTGCAGAATGTCCTCGAATTCAGTATAACACGACGAGTTAAAACACAATAATCGAACCGAAACTTCGTGGAAAGTACTCAAATGAAGAATAGACGTAGAATCCAGACCCTTATACGTGTATACCCTTCTGATCATTCCCTTTCATGTCTTGAGCCGAGGATTCCCGATCCAAAGGTGCAAACTATCTAGATTACCCACGATATTCGTGGGCCTTCCAGCTCGTTTAATATATATGTGTATATATATATTTTTTAAATAGGCTATACAACATCGGACGAGCAAAGGCATGGGTCGAGATATCAGTGTCCCTCAGTTTCGGAGTTTCAAAAATAAAGGTCTGATTGCGAAGGAACTGAAAATTCACCCCTGGAAACCTGTTCAGGTGAAATGCAGGAGCGCGAAGACCGTCGTTTTTCAATTTGGATAACAGACGGAATAAATCAATCTGAGCATGTAGCTACGAACCACCAATCACAGCAGGGCCGAGAGGGTTGCGTCGTCTGCTCTTATGCGGAACTGGGATTGCGTCGTTCATGGTCTCCTTCTGAGAAGGTTCGCAAAATCTGTGATCAGGAGTCAGGAGAGTTAGTGATATCAAGAGGCGATTTCTCCCATTTCGATATCACGTGTAGAGGTCGAGCGTTCCTTAATTTTAGGGTAGGCCTAACCCTCTTAAAGCTATATATTTTTGTATTTTTGTATTTTTGTTTTGTTTTTTTTTTTT